CGAACAAATCGCACAATTTGTATCGTAAATTTTACGATTTATTCAATTTTTTAAAAATTCAAATATATAATTCATAAGAAAAAAGTAATCTACATTTAAAGATAAAAAAAAAGCTATATATAAAAGTACAGAATATAACGTCGACAGACAAAAGAGACAAAGAAAAGTATTGTATATAAGTTGTATATTTGCTATACAGTAACCGCATTCGCCGCGTACAATAAAGATATTGTATATTACGTCATACAATAACAAATGAATACACTTGGTATATAAAGCACGATGAAGTACACACAAAAAATCTCAAGTTTAATTAATCCCAGACAACTTCAAAATGCGTACTCTCTTTCTTTCTCTTTTTGCTTATGTGCTAAAGTACATACGAACAAATGTATTAAAAAAAAGAAAGTTGTGGAGGAAACCTAGGGATTTCCTAGGGAAACCTACTTAGCGATATAAGAAACACTGTCAGAAGGGCATAATAGGCGTCAAATGGAAAAATATGATATTTTCTGAATGAAAAAATGCAAGACGGCTCAATTTTATGTAGGCAAAAATACTTTGCGTCACTTTCTTCATTAAAGTACCTATTCTCAATCTACTTATTTCTCTCGTGAAGCACGTAACAAAGGTATAAAACGTCTATTCTAATATATTCTTTTCACGTCACTTTTCATCGCTCATTATAATATAAATGCACGACTATCACGACCGATTGTTATATGACTATTGAAAAAATGACTCTACATTGTATGGCCATACGTTATGCGCGTTATTTTTATTTTTACATGGAATTTTACAGCTATCGATGGGATGTGCGCATTTTTGGATGGTTAAGGCTTCTCAACAATTCCAATTACTTTGCGATTAATACATTTGCTACGATATACTTCCCACGCAGAACATGGTTGTCGGAACTTCCAATACACAAACACATATATAGGATTTATATTATTCAATAATAAAGTGTCTATGAAAACTGGAAGAGATGTGTCACATGTTTCATGAAAAATCTAGTTACAGTCTATTTTGCTTGCAAGGTCAGCAATTAAAAAATACATTATGGCCGGTATTTATAGTCAATTCTTATATTTATGATTGTCTTAAATACAATCTTAGGATATCATGAATTAATTACAAGTCGGTATTCATACTCGATACTTATATTTAAGACTGTCTTGATTACAGTTTTAAGATATTATGAACAAATCAGAGAGTCGTATAGCATCTTAAGACAATATTTAAAGACAGTCTTAAAATAAGAACGAAGTACAAATACCGGCTACAAAGCCGGTATTCATAATTGTTATTTTAAGATCATCTTAAGTAATAGCATCTTAACCCTGATGAAAATTTTTTTCTAAATTGTAATGAATAATAATAAAAAAATATTAATTGTAATTGTAATGAATAATGATAAAATATTACTGAAATTATAATGAAGAAATATTGCTGAACTTTATATTGAAATCTGTATTAATTGACCCATTTTTCAATATTATTTCATTCAGATTTCATTACAATTCATTAAAAATTCACGAAAAATTACGATTTCATTACAGTTCATTAAAATTTAATATTGTATTAGAGTTCATTATTTAGCCTCACGTTAGTATAAAAATACACTAAAATAAATATGAAAATCATGTACAAAACTGACATGTCTGCATCTAAACTTCGATTATGGGTGCGTTCCAAAACTTGCCAACTCAGAGTATTTTTTTCCTTGTTTAATATTCGGTAAACAACAAGAATAGAATGATATTCAAGTCAACAAAGTCGAGTTTTGGAACGTAATTCATATAAACCTACTTATATAGAATATAGAGAGAGCAAATTAAATTTTACATACGAGAATCATCTAGCAGTACTCCTAGAAAAACAAATTCAACGCTTTTCGTTACAATGCACAAACAACACACAAACTGAGTATTTTTTTCAATTATTAATTCCAATATTTTAATTCTACTATTCTTTTTTTGATAATTATCATTAATAAGTCTATAAAAATAATGTATATTTTGTTTCAATGTCATTACTTTTTAAATATTTTCATTAATGTTTTTAAAAATTTATAGTATTTTAGTATACAATAAATAGTATACAATAATTGTACATACAATAAAAATATTATGTTTTGCATTGCTTTTTTTATTCATTTTAAAAAATTATTTTTAGGATTCACAATATTTCAGTATAATTCAGTGTTCAATTTCTCTTAATAAATTTGTATAAATATATTTGCATTAGTTTTCATCACACTTCATTAATTTTAGTATGATTTCAATTCAGTATTCAATTTCTTTGAATAAATCAAGATGAATATTAAATATATTTGTATTAGTTGCACTCTTGCAATATTTTTCACTCTTCATTAATTTTCATTCATTATCTTTGAAATTTATAGTATTTTAAAATTAAAAGTATTATTTATGTTGAAATATTTTCAATAACACTTCAGCCATTCTCATGTCTCATTTCAATGATTTTATAATCGATTTTAGCGATTTATTTCCATCAGGAAGACATTACTTAAGACAGTCTTAAAATAAGAATAGGCTATAAATACCGGCCTATGTCAGTATATGATACATGTCAATGTAAAATCTACTTTTCAGAGATTTAATATTTTTTGCAGATATTTTATAGAAGTAAAAAATAGGAGCTTTATCTGGCTTTTCCTTGCAACCTCTTTTATCAATTGTTTTAATAGTAGATATTTAGCATATAATTTTATACACTGTATAGTGTCAAATATATGATAAACATACAAAATATTGAGCAGAATTTGATTGCTCTCCGAAAACCATGTTATACAAATATTAGGTGTAAAAAGAAATCCATTATTTTTCCATTCAATTTCATGCAAAAATAATGGATTTCTTTTTACTACACCTAATATAAAAATTTTAGAGCACTTTTTA